GATGAGAACATGTAGCGTTGCCAGTAATGGAACTGCGTTCGTTTCCCTAAATTTGTTGTACCTCGAACAAGCAAATACTTCTGATTTCTGCAAACTTCTTGTTGTGTTCTCTCTTTGGAGGCTCACATGAGGCGTAGTTAGACGGCGAATATTTTGGCCTGGGCTCCGTTATAACAATTTGGCGGCGCGTTGCGCGGTGATATCTCGGTCTGGGCCTCCGTTACAACACAAAGGGTGTCTCTGACTCCACCCAGAGTATATGGATAGCCGTGGAACGGCCTGCGGCGAAGGTTAGATACGAAGTAAGCAGGATATTGGCTCTTGCGGATAAACAGTCACGAACCAGCAGCGACAGTGCTAACAAGGTGTGGATAGCTAGGATTTGGTATGATATTTTTTACTAAATATCACTAAGTACGATGACCATACTGTGACGTAGCCACCGTAAACAGCCATTTAATGGGTTGCCTGCCACCGCTGCCTTACGATATATTTACTGAAAGAAAACGCTAAGAATAAACAATGTGGGAGAATACGAGGGATTTGAAAGTAACCTCAGATACATTATTCGGGCTGAAATTTTCTTGAAAAGCGACACACTTTGAAAGCCTTGCTCTATACTATGTACGAGCAGCATGCGCTTTGGACAATTCGGTGGAGAACAGACCCTTTGCAGGGAGTTTTGTGAACGCTCCTTGATCCAGATGCCGATAGTCTGACGACGAGAAAGTGGGTGTCTGTTACGTTTCTGAGACTCCAAACCTCAACTAGGGTTCATGAAAGATCAAGATCTTGAGGTTGACATCCACCATCCCGGCGGCCCACATAACTCTTCCGGTAGACACAATAAAGACAGTCTTTTCGCAATAGCAGAATAAAGCACGGATCGCGAGAAAAACAGTAAATAAAATGTTCACTATAGTTCAGTTTCTTTGAGGGAAATGTAGGTATGTACCTTTGAACTCCCTGTTTGTTTACATGCATGTTGTGGTATCAAATAAATAGTACCTCACCTAATTGGCGGTGCCAGTTTACGCGAGCCAATGAATTGTAACAAAAAGTATAGCAGACAATGAGAAAACTCCTCGGGATTTTTAGGAGAAAAACCCGTCGCTCATGGGATGGCAGTACGCTAGGTCGAAACGGGAGGGTATCGTAGAGGTCATGCAGATCATCATCGAAGGGTGGAAGATGCGCCTAGATAGTCCCTTGCTGATTGCGAAATCCACTAACGAGGTGGCGAAAACAGAAGTACCCGCCACGATCTTCGACAGTCCATTGCAGTTCGACACACGGGAGGACGTTTAAGGGTTGATTTACGCAAGATTTCTTTTGCCTCCGTCTACATAACGATATCATTTATCGACCAGCATGATATTAAAACCTA